AGTGACACAAATAGTAATTAGACACAGTTCAAAGGGCAATATAAAAATCTAATTTAAGTATAAAATAGATGTATACTGTTACAAGTTTAAAGCTACTTAGGATAAACGAATCTAGTTTCATGTTACAATTTAAAGTCATCCTAGAAAGAAAAAAAAGGGCAATTTAAATATATTTAGATTTTTTTTGGGGTTATGAAGTCAGTCAAATGGACCAACCTTGTACAGAGTTAGGATAGAGAAAATAATAGCTAAAATATAAAGTTTTATTGAAAACAAACATTTGAAATGTGTTTAGGAGGTTTTAGAAAAGTAAAAAAAAACTTGATATATTCACGGACAAATATGATTTAGTTTATTGAAAATAATTCACTAAAAAATCTGATTTTTTTATGTGAAAGACTTATAATGTTTCCTGAAAGTCTGCCAAATTTTGAGAAAATATACAAACAATATTAAAAGTTAGTACTATTAAAACTATAATGACTTTAAACAAGTACAAAGTAGTCACGTGGTTGGTCAATTCAACTGAACTCGTGTTGAGAGAGTTAATGAAATAAGAAATATTCCAAATGTTATTCCATTGTAATAAATTTAACCATAGTATGAATATGCTTTGAAACACATTTTTGAATTAAAGTAAATCAACTTTAAATACTTTTCAATATGTGAGATCAAAGATCATACTTTTTTCATTTCACGAATTAAAATAATGATATAGTTTGGGTTAGTTATATTTAGGACAAAGACATATGCTAGCATAAAAACAAGTTAATGTTTTTTAGTATGCAAACACTTTACCACAATTTTTACCTTTGTTACGAAAATGATTGGCCCATTGGCTATAGCTTTTTTATTTACAGAGACACTATCTAACAAATATTTACAAGTAATAAAGTCAAATCTTCTTTCCATAAAAAAAGACAAGTCTCTTTTATACTTCCAAAAATAATGAACATACATTTGAAGAAACTTTTCATTGCTTATCTAGTTACAGGAACAACTTTTGCTAGGGGTGGCTGTATAAATGTTCATGGAAAAAGCTGCCAGAATTTTCCAGAAGCAAATATACTCAATCAGAGAACACCAAGTGAGATTGTCCACCCTTTCTTCTAGAATTCCAATTTATAATCAAGATCGCCTTAGTTAAT